TTTTAAAATATGCACACACAATTTTTAAAAACAAAATTAGAAACATTCTACTGTATATAGGTTGGCATTCTGCTTTATTCACTTTTCATTATTTCTGAGCATTTATAATCCTGAAAAACATGATTTTTGAATGAATATATAATATTCTATCCTATGTATATGCCATAGGTTAACCATAACATTACTGAAGTTATTTTCCTGTTACAAATAACACTACAATAAACATCTGAGTTGTATGTCAATTATACCTCAAAAAAAAAAAATTCCAAGGATGTAAACATTTCCGTACACGTTTATTTCCATGGGCTGGAATCATGTCAGTGGCACACCTGACTCAAAGGATATAAATTCTTTTATACCATCGTGCCACCCTGACCCAGTGATCCAGGTGAGCCTCACCAGTGACGCGTTGGTGCCACGCACCCCTGATGCGATGTGATGAGAAGATGAGGCATCTCACCTCTCCGGTCTTCTTTCCAAAACTCCATAACGCTGGTCTAAACAGGAGGGCTACATCAGAGAAACCCAAACGGAAGGAGATTCGATAAAATACCTGACCGGAACTCTGCAGAACTGTCAAAGTCATCAAAAATAAGAGGAGGGCTTCCCTGGTGGCGCAGTGGTTGAGAGTCCGCCTGCCGATGCAGGGGACACGGGTTCGTGCCCCTGTCCGGGAAGATCCCACATGCCGCGGAGCGGCTGGGCCTGTGAGCCATGGCCGCTGAGCCTGCGCGTCCGGAGCCTGTGCTCCGCAACGGGAGAGACCACAACAGTGAGGCCCGCGTACCACACACACACACACACACAAAAAGAGATTGAGAAACTGTCACAGATCAGCGGAGCCTAACGGGACAGGATGATTAAATGCCATGTGGGATCACAGGGTGGAGCCTGGAGCAGAAAAAGGACATCAGTGGAAAAGCTGATGAAATTCGAGTGAAGTCTGGAGTTGGTTAATAGTGATGTACGGTATTGATCTATTAGTTTTGGCAAATGTACCATAGTTACATATAACGTACCACAGTTACGTAAGTTATGGGTGAGGAGTATGTGGGGGCTCTCTGTATGATCTTTACAGCTCTTATTTATTTATGTTTTTGGCCAGGCCACGTGGCTTGTGGGATCTTATTTCCCCAACCAGGGATCGAACCCGGGCCCCCTGCAGTGAAAGCACAGAGTCCTAACCACTGGACCACCAGGGAAGTCTCCAGCTTTTCTGTAAATAGTAAACGTATTCCTAAGTACGATAACATTTTATTAAAACACACACACACACACACACACACACACACACACACATCCCTCGGTTTCTGAAAGCCTGAGGAAGGGGTGAGTGAGAATAACTGTTTAATGAGGGCAGAGTTTCAGTTTAAGAAGATGAAAAAGTTCTGGAGATGGGCAGTGGTGAGGGTCACACAACAGTGTGAATGTACTTAATGCCACTGAACTGTACACTTAAAAATGGTGAAGATGGTAAATTTTACGTCATGTATATATATTATATATATATATATTATATATATATATATATATATATACATATCCTACCACACACACACAAAACTTGATTTTCTCAAGAAAATGTCATAGCTCCCATCCAATCCGTCGGTAAGTCCTAGCAACTCTACCTTCATCAGATCTTTGTGGTCCCATCGCTTCTTATCTCCACCACTCCCACCCTAGTCCAGGCCACCAAAACCTCCCACGTGAACCATGGCCTGCAAACTGGTCTCCCTACTTCCACTCGTGTTCCACAGTCATCGACTGTTGACACAAACACCCCCCGCCACTGCCATCACTCCTTTGCTCAAAACCTTCCAATGCCTTCCCACTACCTGAGGGAAAAAGTCCCAGTCTTGATATGATCTGGTCACTAGCTGCCTCTTTTTTTTTTTTTTTTTTGGCTGCACCGTGTGACATGCGGGATCTTAGTTACCCCGACCGGGGACTGAGCCCGTGACCCCTGGCATTGGGAGCACAGCGTCTTAACCAGTGGACTGCAAGGGAAGTCGCAGCCTCTTGTACTTGACCTCTGACCACATCTTCTTTCTTCACTCTGCTCCAGTGTTACTGGACTTCTTGATATTCCTTGAAAACACCAAACTTGTTCCTGCCAAGGGGCCTTTGCACAAGCTGTTCTTGGTGCTTTGAACACTCTGCCCCCAGATACTGGCCTGACTCACTTCCTCACTTCATCTAGGTCTTTGCATAAAGGGCAACTGCCCAGAGAACTTCTCCCAGACCACCCCCCTTAACCATCTGTTCTCTCCCCTAAACCTCTGTTTTCTGACCCTTGTTTTATTAATTATTTTAAAAAATATATTTATTTATTTACTTGGCTGTGCAGGTCTTAGTTGCGGCATGTGGGATCTTTAGTTGCAGCATGTGTGTGGGATCTAGTTCCCCGAACAGGGATCGAACCCAGGCCCCCTGCATTGGGAGTGCAGAGTCTTAGCCACTGGACCACAAGGGAAGTCCCCCTGACCCTCATTTTAAAATAATATTATATTTACTGATACACACACACAGACTTTGTTTATTGTCTGTCTCCCCAAGTAGAACATGAAATCTATGTGAGGGGGACCTTATCTGTCTTCTCAAGTCTTCTGGCCCCAGCACCTAGAAGACCTTGACATATAGGAGCTGCTTCATGAATATTTGTCAAAAGAAGGAATGTGGTCAGTTCTGGGGTAAGATATTTCTAGTTCTCTTCAAATAGGTCTGATGCTTTTAAAAAAAATTCATTCCAGGGTTGTTGTTTTTTTTTTTAACATTTTTATTTACCCTCAGATAATCTAGGATAATCTCCCATCTCAAGATCCTTAGCTTAGTCACATCTGTAAACTTTCTTTTGCCAAATAAGGTAACGTTCACAGGCTCTGGGGATGAGGACAGGACATCTTTGGGGGCCGTTATTCAGTTTACCCTACGTTGCTTTAAAATTTTGTCTTTATAGTTGGTTTTCTACAGTTTAAATATGATGGGTTTAGGTATGCGTGTGTGTATGTGAGTGAGTTACCTGTGTGTTTGGTATTTTGCCAATGGACCCAATATTGTTCTTTATAGAAAAAGTAAATCTCTCTCTAGATTTTTTTCTGGTCCAGGATCCAGTCCAGGGTCACACTTTCTATTGGCTGTCCTGTCTCTCCAGTCTCCTTCCATCTGGAACAGACAGATCTCCATCTTTGTCTTTCGTGAGACTGACATTCATGGAAGTGCAGCCCAGTTACTCTGTAGGATGTCCATAAATGTGGGTTTGTCCTATGCTTCCTCCTTGGAGGCAGGAATGCCAGGACGCGGCACTGCCCCTCCTCAGTTCCTCCCACCAGGCAGCTCGGGAGGTCCCTCCGTCCCATTACTGCTGATGTTCCCCTTGGTCACTTGATTTAAGGGGGTGGCTGTCAGGTTTCTCTACTTTTATAAAGTTACTGATGTTCCGTTTTTTAATCAATACGTTGTGATCAGATGCTTTGAGGTTATGTAAATCTCCCCTCAAATTTTCACCCACAAGGTAAGTTTTACACTTTGGATGTAAATAGATGCATATCAATGGATTATTAATTTTTTAAAAAATTTATTTTATTTATTTATTTTTGGCTGCATTGGGTCTTCGTTGCGGTGAGCGGGGGCTACTCTTCACTGTAGTGCGCGGGCTTCTCATTGTCGTGGCTTCTCTTGTTGCGGAGCATGGGCTCTAGGCGCGCGGGCTTCAGTAGTTGTGGCATGCGGGCTCAGTAGCTGTGGCGCACGGGCTTAGTTGCTCCGTGGCGTGTGGGATCCTCCTGCACCAGGGCTTGAACCCATGTCCCCTGCATTGGCAGGTGGATTCTCAACCACTGCACCACCAGGGAAGCCCCTGGATTATTAATTTACCTTTGACTTTAAACAAAAAGTATTCTCAAACAAGGTAACGGAGGGGCCTTCATTAAATTTTCAGATCTAGAGAGATTACATTTATACAATTCCATCCATAATGTAAGAAAAAAATTTAATTATCTGACAAGCCCATCATCCCCTATAAAAAAGGATATGTGCACACAGATAGGATGTAACACTGAAGCTGAACATCAAAAGTGTCGGTGAAGTGCTTCACCGTTCTGATGCTTGGCAGTGATCCAACCACGTGACATTTTATAGAACTGCAAAGCCATCTCACCATGGACTCAAGGGCAGACACGAGGAACGTCACCACCATCCTGCTCTCCGAGGACTCCTCATTTGTGATGGGCAGGGTGGACATTGCTACTTGGGCCATGATCCCTAGGAAAGAGAAGTATTAGGAAAGTGAGTGGTAGAAATTCAGTGTCCTGCTCGACATGTTTAGAGCTGTGAGGGTCCTCACAGGTGACCTAGTTCAACCCTTCCTTTAAAGGTGAAGAAACCGACACTTAGAGACAGTAAGTGCTTTGCCTAAGATCTCTGTAGAGCAATGCTAACTTTCCATAGTGTATTTTCCACTAAACCTAAATATCACCTTCTCATCAAATAAATTCAGGTATGCTAGAGAGGCATGTTAACTATTTCCCAGACGAGGAGGAAGGAAGGTAAGGAAGGTCCTTTATTGATCCTGTGTTGTGTTGTCAGATTTCAGCACGACCATGTCGGGTACCACATTCTGGTCCACATACACAGGAAAAGGAGAGAAGTGGCTTTGTGTATTACAGATGGGAAGAGAAAATCCCTTCCTTCCTTTTCCTGCTAGGACTTCTGCATGAAAGCTCATTCTAATTTTCCCCAGACTCTAAATCAAGTGAGCATTAAAAAGTTTCTTTGCAAAAGTTTCTCTAACATCATAAAAAGAGTTCTTTGAACTAGAGCATACAATGTAAGCACTTGTCATCGTGTCCTGCCCCTGCAATATCTGGCTTAATTATGTTTGTAAGCAAAAGATAAACAGATCAACATAAATATGTATGTGGGAGGAAGCCTAAAGATCTACGGGGGTGAAGTACGGTGGTCCTATAAGGCTATTCAGAAATATTCGCAAACGTTTCTTTCAGAGCCCGTGGTTCAATTCCTTGCCCACTTGAAGGTATGTGGCCGCATGCCTTGCCTTGGCCAAGGATGTCAGGGAAATGACGTCACTTCCACGCAGAGGTTCCTGCCACACTCCTTGCTCTGCAATGGATCTGCCACGTTCCATATGGTTGGGTTCTAGATTGAGGAAACTGTGGATCAGACCCACAGCCAATCACAAGAGACCTCTAGGGCAAGCAAGGAATAAATCCTTGCTCCTTGAACGCACCAAAATCTGGTGGTGTTTTTAACCATCGCCTACCCTAGCCAATCTGGATGGATATAGCAGGCTGAAAAGGAATTCTAAAAATATAACTACTCATCTATCTAGATCTTCTGAAGACACCTGAGGATCCTTGAGGATCTCTTAAGTTAGAGCCGAGGTCTTCCTGAGAAAGAAAGAACGTAGACTAGCATGTACAGAGCCATTAGGATGCAAATTGTTTGACTTAAAATTTTTTTATAACTTTCCCTATTATGAAATAGAACATGAGAGTGTGACATCATACCAGGAACATAAATTAACAGGCAAGACCTGGGCATGAACAGGTGAGGAAATATACTTCAGTTTGAGGACTTTATTTTATTTATTTATTTTTAAAAATATTTATTTACTTAGGCACGCTGCGAGGCTTGCAGGATCTTAGTTCCCCGACCAGGGATCGAACCCCTGCCCTCTGCAGTGGAAGTGCGGAGTCCTAACCACTGGACTGCCAGGGCAGTCCCAATTTGAAGCTTTTAAATAATTATCTTAATATCAAGACTTTGACACTCTTTGACGCTTGTTATCACACCCATATTTGAGAACAGATAGAAGTCTGTGAATGTTGTTTGTCATAACAAGGACTCTATTCCCACAGAGCTGGAGTCAGAAAAAGCAGCAAAAGCAGCACCACCAAGGACACACGTTAAGTCTTAGAAACTCTTTCCTCTAGCATCTCGATTCCATGATCATCACTTAGTACAGCAGGCCGAAGCAATGGGTATCACAAAGCATGAAACAGCAAAGGCACGCTATTTTTGCCACTTACCAGACTATGCACTTAGATTATGCCCTATCCTGATTCTTTGGGAGCTCAGAATATTTTCATTCATAATTCTTATTTTCCCTTTATTATCCCAGACAGAGAAAAAGGAGCAGATGTATTCTCACGTTACAAACATGTTGATTTGTCCATGAAAAGCTAGACGCTGGGCAACTTCCTGCCTACTGCTGTTTGCACTTCTCACCTTCTATGGCTGTAGATCTGTTACGTCAATCACATTCAGTGTGTGTTAAGAAATGGGAGGGACACCATACCAACAGCCCGTGGGGATGCCACAGGCGAGGAGAGGTCCTATTCATTACCAGAACTTTTCAAGAGCATCTTAGTACTTTTTGATGGTAAGAACGCTGGAGGGGACTGAGTCCCGTCAGGCTTGATGGGGAAGGATGCATTTCATTTGGGGCTTTCTGGCTGTATCTGGATTACAACAGAAATTCACTGAACTGTTCTTTGCCTGTCCCAAGAGGTCATTTCCCTGAATAGTCCTTTTTTTTAAAAAAAAAATTTATTTATTTATTTGGCTGTGCCAGGTCTTAGTTGCGGCACACGGGATCTTCGTTGCCACGTGCAGGATCTCTTTTTAGTTGCAGCATGCGGAATCTTCAGTTGTGGCATGTGGGATCTAGTTCCCTGACCAGGGATCGAACCCAGGCCCCCTGCATTGGGAGCGCAGAGTCTTAGACACTGGATCACCAGGGAAGTCCTCCCTGGATAGTCCTTAGTCAACGCTGTTCATGGAACATTCCCTGCACCCCTAACCCGGTGGCTGCATCCTCTCCTGCTCCCTTTGCCAGAAAGAAACTGCTATCACACAGTGGCATTAACAGTGAACACCAGAGGACACACCAAGTTAGGCTGGTGATGCAAGCTTACAGGGCATGAGGCATGATGGGCTGGTCCTCACAGAAGCAGGGGCCAGGAAAGCCAGGTTGTGGATTCCCCAGACCACCAACCTGTTCCGGGACCCCAGTGGGCAGCGGCCCTCAGGTTCCTCCTCTATGACTAAATCAATCACTTACTATGAAGGTTCCTTTCACCTCTGAACTTCTATGGGCCCCCTCGTTTTAAAATCAAGGGAACCACATATTACATGAGTCTATGCATATGAAATGTCCAGAATAAGGAAATCTATAGAGACAGAAAGTAGATTAGTGGTTGCTTAGGGCTGGGAGGTGGGGTAGCTAAAGGGTACAGGGTTTCTATTCAGGGTGATGAAAATGTTCTAACATTGACTGTGGTGACGACTGTCCAACTCCATGCATATATTAAAAAAACCACTGAATTGGGGGTTTCCCTGGTGGCGCAGTGGTTAAGAATCCGCCTGCCAATGCGGATGGGTTTGAGCCCTGGGCCGGGAAGATCCCACATGCCGTGGAGCAGCTAAGCCCACGCACCACAACTACTGAGCCTGTGCTCTAGAGCCTGCAAGCCGCAACTACTGAGCCCACGTGCCACAACTACTGAAGCCCTCACATGTAGAGCCCGTGCTCCGCAAAAAGAGAAGCCACCGCAATGAGAAGCCCGCGCACCGCAACGAAGAGTAGCCCCCGCTCACCGCAACTAGAGAAAGCCCGCACGCAGCAACGATGACCCAACTCAACCAAAAATAAATAAATAAATTTATAAAAAAAAAAGAATTCTGATTAAATTACTTCATATTAAAAGGTCCAACTTGAAATAATTTTTATTTATGCAAAATATTGGCAAAGCTAGAGTTTCACTCCAATTTCTTTTCTTTATCTTTACGTGTCAGCTGCATTACTTGTTGAAATATTAAAATAATTTTCCCATTGGAAGTTACAGAAATCTCACAAAGATTTTTAAATAAGCTTTCAAATATAGTGAACATGTGTTCAATTTTTACCTAAAATAAAGAAAATATTTGTTTTAAAAAAGGACTCACGTGGGTAAATTTGCACTGTTCTAAAGATAAACCTGGAACCAAGCTCTTTAATACCTTACACTGTTTTTTAAAATTGTGATGAAGAAATATATTCTTGACCATTATCTTTCAGAGTTAACTAATTCAAACACTGTTAAAAAAAAAAAAGACTATGTCTCATTCAGCGGAGTCGAGTCTTACAATGGAAGTAGGTATACCAAAAGGCAAATTCAAGCGTGGTCAACATTATCCGAGGAAGCAGTACATATCTTTCCCAGAGAGAACATTTTTCTTCCATGATTTCTTTCATTGTTTAGGGGACAGGCTTTTCTAGCTCTTAATCAGCAGATGCAACTTTGCCGACACCACACATTTTTTCAGGTAAGTGCTTCTGAAATCTGTCAACCTCCCCTAGCGGGCTCTGCGTTGTCTATCACAAGTCCATCCCCTCTTTGGTGGTGGTTTCCCTTTTTTCTTTGAACTTTGCCATCGATAGATATGTCTTTAGATTTCACGTCGTCTAGCCATAACTTTAATACTTTGCAGTCTCTCTAAAGCCTTATCACATACTTGGCTGGTCACTTAGCAGCTACTGGAACCCTCAAAGCCACAGTATGGTGACTCTCATGTTGAAGACATGAATAGTGGATTCATCGTGACCGCTCTGTGACCTCTTGCTAAATCCTGCAGAGCCAGTTTTCCCTGCAGTGTTGACATGGGTCATTGTTTCTTCCATTAATCATCCAATGATGTAGTGTAGGGGCCATGATGTATGAAAAATACGCATTTTTAAACAGTAGAACCAGACACACTGTTGTGAGATGCTCACACTGAGAGCTACCAGAGATCTGAGCCCACTTAAGGGACTGGCATATTCCAGGCTCTTATGCTTGCACCTAATCTGTAATTACACCACAGTAATCTCTGAGAGGACTGTGATGCCAAAACTTTAACAGAGAATAAAATAACAGGCAGAATGAAACTAGGTGGAACTCAAAAAAGCTATTATCAGTTGGTGTCAACTGTGCTACCAGCAATAATTTTAAAAACGTATGTTTCATAATTATTGCTTTGTTTGCACCCTTTACTTAACAGCAAATGGAGGCAGGAACTTTGTCTTTTACATTTTATGATTTAGAACACACCATGTGTCAATACCACATCCAAACTAATGAACCATGGTTATAAGCTAATCACGTGGTTTCCCACCTTGAGGACATTTCCCTGAGAAACAAAATCATTGCATTCTAATAGTTAAAAATCCTTGACAATGAGAGCTTGTACCAGAGTTCAACCCCCCAAAGCCTATATGGTGATTAACTTCTCTACTGAAATCTAAAGCACCAGCTTTGTTCATTTAGATCACAGATTTTATATAGTGCTTAACTTTTTGCTTTTTTAAAACTGGAGATGTAAACTGAAACAACTCTCAAATCTCACAGTTTTCCCAATTAACTTTGAGGACTTTCTCTCCTTTTCAATGTTATATTTTACTAATGAAAAGCAAACATCAAAACCAGACTACCACCTATTTTTATAAATAAAGTTTTATTTGAACATAAGCCACACTCACTGGCTTGCATCTTGTCCATTGACTGCTTTCCTGCAAAGGCAGGGTTGCATGTGACAGAGACCACATGTCCTCAGAGCTGGAAATATTTATTATCTGACCCTTTACAAAAAAAATTTGCCCATCCCTGTTCTAGAATTCATTTCCACCACTTAAATTTTGGAATGTCATCCACTCCATTTATCAAACCTCTGAAATCTTGAAATAGACACCTGCTTTATTTTTTAAACTGTTTCTAAATTTACCTTTTCAAAGGTTAATTTTTCAGGTCCCTGAGGCCTTGATTTTAATTAGCAAGTTCCCAAGGTGCCACCTTCTCCCTGACTCAGCCCAGGCCTACAGTAAGTGGAAACTGCAAATGCAGGTGTACCTATTCAACATTCAACAGAAATGTATTGAAGTGGTCAAGGGGTACAAACCCCCAGTTATAAAATAAACTAGTCCTGGGGCATGGTGACGATAGTTAACAATACTGTACTGTATATTTGAAAGTTGCTTAGAGAGTAGATCTTACCACAAGAAAAAAAAATTGTAATTATGTGATGTGATGGATGTTGACTAAACTTATTGTGGTAGTCATTTCACAATACATACATATGTCAAATCACTATGCTGTACTCCTAAAACTAATACAGTGTTATATGTCAATTATATCTCAAGCTGGGAAAAAATATCCTAAAAAAAGAATAATAACAAATTCAAGACAACCAAGGACTCTTCTGGGATGACCAAGGAGTATGGAAAAGAACTAGACATAATATGTATTTTCAATGTCAAAAAATGAAAAAAAAAAAGTCAAAATTAAATGCTTGGGAATTCCCTGGGGGTCCAGTGGTTAGGACTCCACGGGTTCAGTCCCTGGTCGGGGAACTAAGATTCCACAAGCCGTGCAGCGCGGCCAAATTAAATGAAAAAAAAAAAAAAGCTTAACAAATAATCAAGAACTTTAGCTTAGCCAAACAAATGTTTAAAATTTAAAAAAATGTAATGAGCACGTGCTATATGAAAATATACACTGCTGGCAGGAAAGACAAGGGGGAAACAAAGTGATTTTTATGTGAATAAAATCCACGTCCTGCGGTCTCGAGTTAGACAAACCTGCATAGATACAGAATAGCAGGTAATGAAGGCAAAATGAAAGCCAGAACCCCCCGAAATGGTTCTGAGTCAACAACCTGGGGGATGAGACTGAAAGCATGTTAGCAAGTTCTGCTTGCGAAGAGATCTTCCAGGCAGCAGGTGTGGGTAAAGACCCAGAGCTGTGGGGCACTAAACAACAGGAAGGCAGAAAGAAAGTTGACCCGCTCCAAATGCATTATCACCTGCAGTAGCCTGGCGCCAAGCCCTGTGTCCACTGAAGGCAAGGTGGCCGGTCACACAGATCAAGCCTTCCTCTCCAGGTGGAAGAAAAGAAGAGACAAGGCTGCTCAACTCTTCGACTGCAGCTATGAGCAATATCCAATTTGCCAATTTCCAATCCCGTATTTAGACATCTGCTTACTTCAAATTACCAGCAGGAAACTAAACGGTGGCATTTTTGGCTCAGCCATTCCATTCCTTGGTATGTACCCAAGAGTTGAAAACAAATGTCCACACAAAAACTTGAACACTGATGTTCAACAGCAGTATTCATAATGGCCCCAAAGTGGAAATAATCCAAAAACATTCGTCAATTGATGGAAGATGAAAATGTGGTATATCCATACAATGAATTATTATTCAGCCATAAGAAGGAATGAAAGAAGCCAGACCAAAACACTCCCTTTGATGATTCTATCCTTAGGAAATACCTGGAATAGGCAGACACACAGGGATACAAAGCACATTGGCGGTGTCCAGGGTGGGGATGGGAAAGGGGAATGACTGCCTAATCGATATGGGGTTTCTTTGGGGGTGATGAAAACGTTCTAGAATTACTGGTGATGGTTGCACAGCTCTGTGAATAAACAAAAACCACTGAATTATACACTTTTAAAGGTGAATTTCATGGCGTTATGTCAATAAAGCTGTTATTAAACAGCAAAGCTTGGGTTCGAAGCACGGGGAATATAGCCCTACAAACCTTTTTTCTCCTCTATCTCTAAATCATAATCGTGAGGGACTGTAGTCTAGGACCAGAGCC